GTTCCTATAGAGAGAGAGTTAATTCTGTGTCGTGGGTGATGCAGTGGGGTGAATGGATGACATTCCACTGGGAAAACAGGATTTCTTAAAAAATAAAAACAAGTCCTCTGGCCCGTTTTGCATTTGGGATAGAGACCACTCCAACTGCTTTGCTGGCCCTTGGGCGAGACAGGAGAAAGCAGTGGGAGAGACGGACGTTGCGTGGAGCAGTTATTTGTATTTCCGAAGGGCAGAGTGCCCATAGTGAAAATGGAAGAAATCAGTCATCAGAGGAATATTAAGCATTCCTATTTAATAATGAGCAGGCTATGAATTCTTCACTGGAGGGCTTTTTTGGGGGGGGGGGGGGGTGGTTGACCGACATTCTCTGTGTACATCCCAGATGGTAAATCCTGGCACTGGGCAAGAGTGAGGTAAGAGGGCACACTAGATTCCACACTGGAAGGGCTACGATTCCTTGGGGATGAGGTTGGGCTATTAATCTGTTAGGGTGAGAGAATCAGTGCCCTGCTTCTTCTGGGATAACAACGAGGGCATCAGCAGTGTACGTTTCAGGGAACACGATCAGTTGCAGTGACTTGCATCTAAAATATCCCAGTTGCCCGCCGTGGGGATGGGCAACATTTGGTTCTCATCTAAATGGAAATGGAGGTAATTTTGCTGTTTTTAATCAATACATGAACCAAAACTCAATTGCCAAATAGAGCTGAAAGCTGAAAGCTCAGCTGTCTGAACTTTGCACTCCTCTGAGTTTTCCCATCCAGTTTGTTCCTTTTTTTAAAAGCAAGTTTACTGGAGAACAGTCTGTGCGGAAGTGCATCTATTTATCAAAACAATGTAGAAAATGTATTACTTTAGGAAAATTGTTGGGAAAACTAAGTGCAGCAAACTGACAAACGAAACGTGGATGTTTGGAGAAATTGAAGTGAGGGTGCGACAGCACGAATGGATGGACGGATGGAAAAATGAGAAAAACCGAAAGAAACTGAAATAGACGCATTTACCTATTTCATCTGAGATTTCCGCATTTCTGAGACATCTGCGGGAAGAAAAAACACTATAGCAACCCCACAGTGAAGGACATCAGAACAAATTTGCCACCGTGCCAAAAATAAACATCACATCTGTGAGTAAACTTAAAATATATACAGAACCTTGGAGAAGCCAAGGGAGATCCCCTTTTTTCCATGGCAAGAGGAACAGAATAAATGTGGTGTTTTGATGAGTTATATATGTGTATAATTTATAATCTGCCTTGAACTTTCAAGATACTGCAGGATACAAATCAAAGGCAAATGTGTCTCTGCTAGTTTTTTATGACTTCCCTGCCCCCACCCAGGACTGGAATTAAAGAAACATCAAACATTTGGGAACGGAAGTGGAAGGTTAAGTGAACCGGAGGGGAGGGGTTGGGGTGGTGTTTTACAGCACACATTCAATTAACTAATATTTTTGCAACTGAATCCTTCCCTCTACCCCCCCCTCCCCATAATTTTTCAAGCCTTAATTACTGTTTTCAATCATTTCTATCATGGGAAGGGATTTGCAGGGAAAACCCGCCTCTTTTCTGCTGAGTTTTAAAACAAAAAAAATGGGAAACATGTTATAAATAAACAGCAATTAGTTTGATGATAGCCACATGCCAGGCAATTAACAATCCTTGCAAATGTCAGTTTTAATTAAAGAAGCATCGATTTTAATGTAAGTGCATTATTACGTACACATGTTCCAAAACATCAGTATATGTAGTTCATTCGCTTGCTTCATCAGCTGAAAAAGAAGTTTAAAAAGATGTACTGGTTCACGCAACATGCTGATCCATAATGTGCTTTAACTACAGTTTGTTAAGCCATAATTGGTTGCATTCATACATTGTGCTGGATTATAGATCGTAGTTTGCAAACCCCAGTGCCTGGCTTCACAGAACGTGCTTAGTACAACAGCCAGGAAATCTTGGTGATCAAGAATAATTTTACATTTAGTTAGAGAATAAGTAGCAAACCAGGACAAATATCTGCAAAGAATTCCTATATGAAGCTTGCTCAAATTCTCATTTAGAGGATGGCCTGGAAAAAACGACCAGACCTGACTGAGATGTTTCTGTAGAAAGGCCTAGT